GGAAGGTAGTTTGTAACATAATATTATATTATTAGTGAAATTTTGAATAATAATAATATATAAAATTGATAGTAAGTAGAAGACATAGAAAGATGTGATGGAGTGATATGAAATGAGTAGCAATTAAGCAAAAGGGTCCCATAGCAAAAAGATTAAAATGTGCGTGGCCTCAATTCAAAAGAGAAGTGTTGGTTAAAGCTATAAGGGCATATATATATGCATGCATGAACTCTTAAAAGAGAGATTCAAAGGCAAATCTTTTTCATGCATTGAGGATTGGGATAAAAGCTTTGTTATTTTTGCCATCATTGACCATTACAGTGCTTATTAAACCTGTGAAAATGTGCTTAAAAACCCAACCCCCACATTGCTTTGCTTTGGGACCATCTGACACTTAACTTCATCATTAAAGTTGATCATATTATTCTCTCTACAAGGGAGCTGAGGAGAATGATGATGGGTATGTTGGGACTTGGGAGGGGTCTCTATTCCATCTTGTAGTCTTGTCTTCATGAAATTAAGAGCTTTGGAATCATCATACACATATAATTTCTTCAAATCATATAACTTTCACTTTCATATTCATATATTAAACATACATATATACATTCAATTTTAATTTGGTCCACCAAATTATTGATGTTTGTATTCATGATTAACCTATCTATTCACTTTGACTGTAGTGCATGCATGCATTATTTTGGAATTGGTTAGATTGATGTTACTATGTAATTCTTAACCACTTAAAATTATTATTGGTTGTACTCAACATATTACAACATATTTGTACATACTAATTAAAATGACTATCCATATAAGTTAATTGTTTATTTAAATCAAACATAAATCAATTATTATTATTTTTTTTATAGTGTTAACATAAATGTCTAAGAGCTATACAATACACATATATGCAAAGATCAGACAATAGAGTAAATAGATCAAATTAGAGTGATTTTATAGATGAAATGCCTTAGTACATGCACAATGCGAGTACAAGCAAATTAGGTCTGAAGCCTGGCTGGCGTCAGGAAATATACCATGGTATTTGGTCCCAAAGGTCCTCTCTACAGTCATGAAGGAAGGGAGTACATGTGGAAATCTTATCGACACAAGTGACGTGGTGCTGGAAAATGACCAATTAGATCAGTCACGACACATGCATGTCAATTTTGATATGACTTGGGTTAAATTAACGATTAAATAGACGTTCTGGAAGCTAAACTCATGACCATAAAAATCGACCTTCCCGATTTAAGAGCTTGGGAAGCATGCAGAATAGGTCGGACGACCGGGTCAATATACATAATATATGCTCCATATATACCAATCCATCACATATCTAGTTAGCAAAAAGCAGCCGGAAAAATTAAAATGAAAAGAAAATCCAATTCAATTGATTCATCATGTTTACATCAAAGTGAAATGACAGTGAATGAGGTGTGGTACTAGCTAGCTTGTCTAAAATTAAAACACCACATGAGGGAACGTAAAGCCTGCTTAAAGGGAAGCAAGAATCTTGCTAAAAGCTAAATAATGGAGTGTAGTAGCAGACAATTGAATGTGTGTTTACTTTTTGACCAATTATATCTATCTATCAATCTATGTATGTATGTTCTCCTTGTTACTTTAACATGCCCACAAGGTCAATGAGATGAACTCATAAAGAGAGGCCACCACAAAACCTTTGGAATCCTATGTCAAATATATATTAAATATGCTCATTAGTATCACCTTTTTCATTGCAACCTCACTAAATTAATTCCACCAACCCTATTTATCTTTGTTCCAAATGATTGAATCCCCACCCTCACGCCTGGCCCAACAGAGCATCTGGTAACTCAGTTATAGGCTAGACTTTTGTGACATTTGCTTAGTGCGCACAAGGACCACCCCTCACTTTGAGAGGTTGTTCCCACACTGTGGCTGGTGAGACTCGATCACGAGTCATTGTTCACAAACTTCATCCATGTGACCAATTAATTGAGCTGCCAATGTGAGCACCAATCCTCTTTATCTTTTTAGAAGATGAGATTGTGGTCCGAGAGGGATCACCAAGTGAATGTAACATACATATATATGATTCTTATATATGAATTTCTCAAGCCTGTCACACAGTTTTCCTAATACAATTTACTTTTCATATGTAGTTTGTAGACTATTATTATACAAAATTGAAACGAGATTTATCCAGTCAGTATACACTTTCAAGTGTTGACTATGGATTCCTTGTCACCAAAAAGAAGGGATAATATTTGCAACTGTTTTTTTCATGTAAGCTAAGATAAATGCTTGCTAACTTACTTTTCACTTGCAATATAGTAATGCTAGTGGATGGATAAATAAGATGGAAACACGCAAAGCTAGGTTCATGCTAAGCTAATTATTAGGTATGTCACATCGAAGATATGTATACAATAATAAAATAGTTTTTAAATTACAACATTAAATTTTTTTTATAATTGGATCTAATTCATTACAATTTTTTTAGACTGTGGTCTACACATACAACTGTGTGAACCACGATCCACGCAATAACTATTGCTAGGTTCTAATATAAAGTAGTATTGCAACAAGTCCCTTAATGGAACTATGGACTATTTATTAAGGATTACATCTCTATTTATAATTGGATCTTGAAGTTTCATATATAGGTGTTATTCTAAAGAGTGATTCGCAAATAGCTATACAAGAATGGAATGTCGCAATCTTATACTTGCACATTGTTGTTGGTATAGGGAACTATTATGCAGAAATTGGAGTTGTCACATTAAGCACGCACATACATAAAAGAAAACGTTATGTGTTGTCCACATACCGGATAACATTGCATGGGAGTTATTTGTAGTTGGCACTATAAGAACACTAAAATAGTTATGCATTTACCTATGAATTAAATATCTACTACTTAAAAAAAATAAAAATCTACTACTTAAATATCTATAAATTTTCTCATGATGATAAATTTGATATTTCTTGTAGCAAGAGAAACCTAATGAAGCACACAAAGTTAACAACGCCTCCACTGAAGCTCAATCTCATGACCTCCCACATGAGAGAGGTCATTACATGTCATATGAGCACAATGTGCTTGGTGCTAACTAGCTAGGTTATTGGTGTGATAAATTGATAATTCTTTTGAGGGAATGCTAAAGAAAAAAAAAACTAATTAATAAAATCAACATCCGAAACATCTTTGCATAATTGTGGCCAAGCTGTTGTCTCATAGTTTTTTCTTTGCTTTTTTGGCCACGATATACATATATATATGAGTTGTGTGTGTATATATTCATTTAATTTATTGAATAAGTTTATCATTTCGAGTAAAAAACTTCACCCAATAAAAATAAGTGAAATATAGACTCAAAAACTTTTATATAATAAATTTGGACAAACAAATTAAAATTAAGAATTGACTATAATATAATGCTAAAAGGTTATTTTACACCCTAATTAAGTGATAGGGAAGATTGGTATATACCCTTGGGGACGGGTGTCCAAGAGGCAGTCCATGCTCCATCTAGCTCCAAAATGCTTATTAATGCTCTGTGATCTCCCATGGATTCCTTCAATTGACTTAAAACTTGATTAAAATTTCTTCAAAACACTTCAAGCTTTTTTAAATTGCGATTAACAGTATCTGAAAACGAAAACAACCAAAGATAGAGATACATGGGTGGGTAGGTAGGGGCCCTTGGCCCCCCACGCCACCCCCATCCCACCCCACCCTACCCAAAAATATTAATAAATATTGATGTATATATATTTAGAATAAAAATGTTCTTTTGGCCCCCTCAAATTTTATTTATTTAGTTCTACTATATATATATATCAAATGAACCCAAAACATATATGTAAGTAGTTGCTTTGGTTGAGTGGTTAAGGCGTGTGCCTGCTAAGTACATGGGGTTTCCCCGCGGGAGTTCAAATCTCTCAGGCAACGGATAAATTTTGAGTCCAACGGCCAAGATGATGCCAAACCTATCCTTTCAAAAAAAAAAAAAAATTGGCTCAAATAAATCAAGTAATTAGTTATTTTTTTTTTTTTTTACACTTTTAAGATGTACATTTGCTAATTCAATAGACTAGTTTTGAAATTGTAAAAGCTAATTTTAATATTGGTTCTTTAATTTGTGATTTTGAGTTTTGCCTTCATCCCTCAAGTTTTGAAATATTAAGTTAATTAGTGAAATGAATATCAATTAATTATGTAAAAAATTATTGCCAACAAAATAAATGACAACAATATTTATTTGATAAAAGAGTGACAAGTAAGAGTATCATTGTATATATTTTGTATTATGTGGAAAATTATAAAGTATCGATTGACATCTATGCCAATTGTTATATAAATTATCATTAAAATTTATTATCGATAATATATGCATAGTATAATTATGTATGATATATATATATGTAATGATATCATGTATGATCGGTGCTGATGTTGAATTATTGTTGATTGACATTGTAAATTTTTTATATAATCTTGGCTCCTTTGAGATAAATTTTCTAACTCCGTCCCTAAAAACACAACACAACTATATAGCGGTTTCTACAAGATTGATGTAATTCTCAAATAAAATGAGATTTAATATGTGATAACAATATTTACATTCACACACTTATCACTCATGCATAACTATCATATCAAGCAAATTGATATGCTTTAGTAATTCAGTACTAATTTATATTCTTCACATATTATAAATATATTTACTCCTCACGTACAATTATTTGGCAAAGAACCTTTTTTTTTTTTTCTACAATCAATTATATTTCTATTTTTGTATGGAAATGCATAAATCTGATTCAACAAAACCCATTTTCCACTTGTGGTCCATGTACGAATAAAAAGCATTAAGATGTTATGCATTTTAATCATGCAGTGTTCACGTCGGTCGTCGTACTCTTCTTTTTTCATTTTATATTATCTAATTTCTAAAAATTTTAAGATTCGCAAAGCTAAAATATCATTAAAATAAAATACTAAGAATATATTATATTAAACTCGATTTATATATCCATAATAACACACATTGATATTAAATAGATTGAAACAAGCAGATCGAAGTACAAGGCTATGTCTAACATTACTAAAGCTCACAAAATGAAGAGTCCAACTCCTCACACGAACATAATTTTTTTTTTCTTGAGATAATTTAATCTAAATGCTGCCTAGAAAATAAAAATAAAAATATAGCGGACAAAAAAAAAAAGAAAAAAGAAAAACAAAGTTGGTGGATGATAGTGGCAAAAAAGCATGAGCTTCGATACTATCTTCTTGACTGGATCGTCTTTCTTGATTCTCTCTTAGACTGTGAAACCTGAATTCAAAAGTTAAAGCACCAAAAAATGTTCACTTTTCTTATTTTAATAACAATAATAATTAATATATACTTTAAAAAAATTAAAGATATTTTGGTTACCCAAAAATGGAGAATCGACGTTGAATTCAGTAAGAATACTTGTTGCCGGAGTCCCGGGGCGCACTGCATCGGAAACACTCCATCCGGCTAGCAAAGTTGTGCTCGTTGCACCCGGACCTGCATATATATTTTTTGAATCAGTTATGGTTTTTATAAGATAGTATTTGTTCTATACAGATAATAAATGTGTTATCATACTAATTTGACTTATAAACATAAAGGGTTTCTTAAATCCAAAGAAACTTGATTTAGTATATGGAGTACGAAAAAAGGAATATGATTGTAGGAGACATATATACCTAGTACAAATCCAGTCGCCGGACTTCCAACCGGTGCGGCTGCCAGCGCCACTTCCGCTGCCGAAGCCGTAGCCGCCACCGGGTCGGGGCCTGGAGACGTGGTCGGCGTCGAAGCCGGCGGCGGAGGAGTCATCCTTGAAAGCGCCGCACTTGAAGCAGCTGGAGCGGCTGGCGAAGTTGTGGGCACCGCAATGGCCGACGGCGCAGTACCAGTCGCCGGGACGGACATCGGGGCCGGTGAGCCCTCCAAAGGAAGAGCCGCCGCCGCCGAAGCTCCCATAGTCGCCACCCCTATCGCCGCCGGGTCTCGGCTCTCCACACCTCTGGCAGCTGTCTCTCCTTTGGAAGTTCAAGTGCTGACATGACCGGCAGTTCCAGTCTCCTGGCCTATTATTCATCTTCTCTGATCTGCATGCCCAACATATTATATTAGAAAACAAAAAAAAACAAAAAACAAAAAAAGGAATTTGCATGAAGAAATAAATTGAAGAACAAAGCCTAACCTCAGTACAATGAAAACAAAAAAAAAAAAAAAAAGCTAAGGTTGTTTTATTTGAAGAATTATATAATATAATAGGTAGGTATCTAAGGAGAGAAATGAAATGGTGGTGAATATTTTGTAGTGGTTGGAGAGGTTTATATACTAGCAAGTTCCTCGGAATTCGAGAGTATCAAGTATCAAGGTGGTGGCCGGAGGGCTAAGGTTGTTCTTTTTTCATATTCTTTCTTCAACAATGGAATCACATCACAAACAATAAAAGTAATTATGGAAAAAGGGATAATTAAATAAAATAAAATAAAAACAAATGAGAGATCTGAGGATTCCAAACATAGAAATTATAATTAGTTGTTGTGTGAAGTTTGGGAAGAAAGATCAGGGATCGAGTTTCATCCACAGTAATATGGGAATAATCTTTTAAAATGAGAGTACTCATTGTGTGTGTTCACCTGAGTTACCATGATTTACATCCTCCTAGATATTCTGTCCGGTCGGGATGTGGAGATTCTCGAGATTGGGGATTCAACCTTTCAGAAAGAATAATTAGCTGTTGTGAAATTTGATAAAGTTATTAGCTGTTACAGCTTCTTTTTAGGCGGCTTCTAGAGGGATGGGATATATATATTATGTCATATATATGTCTGCAGTAGTGAGTAGCCCTGCATCCATATGATTTAATGATGTGTGTCCCTTAAATTTTTGTTGCTTGCAACAAATTTGTTAAGTGTTCTTGCTCAAGAAAAGTACTAAAATAATTATAGCATTGGGAGTTCCATTTTAAGAATATGGAACAACCTTTTTTAAACTAAGGGGTAACAAGTCTCCACTTATATTGTCTGGTTTCACTTTGTGAAAATTAACTATACACTAGAGAGTGCAAAATGTACTGCTTGTACTTATTGCTTGATCAATCACTTCGATCTTGAGATTGATGTCGCGATTTGGTGTACTTTATTTAACATGTGTCTTTCATTCAAATATGTAGAGTTATTTTGTTTTGTTGAAATTAAATTTATTTTTTAGAGATTCAGAATATTCTAACCATCAACTTGGATGGCCAAACCATCAAATTATGACTAATTAATCATGCAAGCCTAATAATCTCATATTCTGCAATCTTAAAAGCAGAACTGAATGTTGAAAACTATCTATTAGTCTTCTTAATTTGAGTCAATCAACTATGGGCAATATATAATAGTTTACATTTGCCGATTAAGGTCATAAGTTCAGTTCCATTAAGAGCACACATTTAAGTAGCGACTACATGTTTTCTTGTAAATCAAAGAAGTGAAATGTTGTTGTAAACATTTTAATGATATCATTATTAATATAATGTTTGTAAGCATTATTGTTTAAATATAAGCACATTGATTATTATAAACACTATTTGTCATTTTATAATGTAAATATGTCAAACAAAGTATAGTGTGATGTAGGGTGTAATTCACTAATGCGTGACCAAATTTGTGTTGGATATGATAGTTAACATTATATGTAAAAGGAAGTGAAAAGCAAATTTAAAGAGTTCATTTATTTTTATATTCACTTTTAATTGTATTGATCAATATATATATACACTCACAGTATACATTCATGTAATAAAATAAACTTGTATATTTAAATTAAAGAGTTAATTCCACTAAAAATTCTTGGACCTATTGAATTTTTCACATTTGACCATCAATTTTTAAAACAAACCTAGCTATCTAGTCCCTAATTATTAAGAAGTTAACATATTTAACTCTGCATTACCAAATTTGTTGGTTGATTTTAAAATTCGAGAGTCAAAATCAAACTAACTGGCGACAATGTTTTGAAACACTCAATTTTTTTATAAGGTAGGATCTGTTGAATTAATTTAGTTGTAAAGTCATGAATCAACCATGAAGAAACTCAATGGTCGACAAATCTTTTTTTTTTTTTTGAAACACTTAATTTCTTACAAGGTAGTATCAATTCTATATTTTCTCAATCTATTTCAGTCCAAAGAATCAATGCTCCCACCACCGAAATTTTATCATGTGACTACTCATTTAAAATGGTAACAAAAGCGTCATCACACTATATAATAGTTAATAATGGTGGACAAACTTTATTAGAATTTAGTTTAAATTAAATTAAATATTTGTTAATTTGAATCATGAGGTGTATAGTAATGCCACTTGGAAATAGTTGCTTGCTTGATTGATGAATATTGGATAAGAAGGAACAGAATAAAGGGTCCACAGAAGTGCCACGGTGCATATATAGGTTCTGCTTTAGAATGTTTAATGTATGTATATGTGTATTGGATAAGCTAAGAAGGAACGCAACAAAATTGTTACATGCATGAATATACCTATAACGACCCTACTCACTATTATTCACTATTCCATATATGGCCCATTCTGTAAATAATTCTACTTTATCCTAATGCAGTAAAATAGAAATTTAATAATATATTAGTAAATAAATAACATAATTGTGTAACGAAGGAGTGGTGGCCGCCAATTATAAAAGGGGAGAGGAGAGAAAAAAAAAAAAACAATTTTTGTAAGAGATTCAGGTCCTTGATACCATCTAAGGATATAAAGTAATTGTGTTATACTATTAATGAATAATCAGCAAATTATAAATAGTGTACAAAAGATGAGAAGTAACAGGAAATTACAATAAAAATTAAAGAAATACATTTAGAACAGATAAATGAATATAGAAAGTGTCAACCACATATAGACCTAACAAATTGTGCACTTAAAATACAATTTATGCATAACATTAAATACACTGAAGTTTTTGAATTGAATTTTTCACATATAAAAATATATAATTTGATGTGCGTCTAGAGAACGGGTCCATGAAATCTACAATTATAAAAATATATATATTTGTTGGGAGTGGTAGGAGGGAGGATGTACACTCGTGTGTGTCAGATATCGTAAAATGGACGTATCTCTGAAGCTGAAATCGAAGCTAAAGTTAAAGTTGCATGGCTACAACTTCTATGTACGTTGCTTCTCATTCTTTACTTAATTTATTATTATTTTAATTAAATAATAATTTGTCTAATAAAAATAATTTTTTATAAAATAAAATGTGCTGTGCAATTTTGGTACTGACAATACAATTTTTTTAAATACGTAATTTCACTTTTAATATAATACTATATAATTTAATTCCTAAATACTGTCAAAACGCATCTAATGATTTCTAGGTCAGGTGTTCAAGTCTTACTAAATAGAATTATTTATGTTTAGTAGTTTTCAGCATTCTTAATGTATTAATTATTGGAAAAATGATAAGTTCAGTATTGAACAATGATCTTTTGAGACATAAATTAACTGTTTCCAACAATTTCATTTCGATGGAAAAAACCGCATACCGCTATGTTGATAATTGTATTATTAAGCCTGCATTGACAGCTTAACTGGTTATAGAGGTGAAGTTTGGAAAGAATAATTGTATTACTAAATCTGAAAGTGGTTCTATACTTTCTTAATCTTTTATAGTCCAAAGAATCAATACTCCCACCACTTACGGAGGTGTCATCACACTACATAGTAGTTGATTGTACTTTTAAAAATAAAAATATATTTTAGCGGCAATTTTATAACTGCCGCTAATATTTATGGTAAAATTAAATAAAATGTTTACTAGCAGTTATATAAATGTTGCTAAACGCTAACAAAGAAAAATGACCAATTTTTCGCGGCGGTTCAGAAACTGCTACTAAATGTAGTCAAAATCGCCGCTAAATGATTGACTAACTAATTCCTGAGGTTGTAAAAAAATCTCCGCTAAAAGCTTCGCAACACACTATATAGTCACGGTTGAATAACCGTTGGGAAACACAATAGTGGCGGTTTGTAACCGCCGCTAAACATCATAAAAATCACCGCTAAATGCTTAATTTGGTGCAATGACTCTTAATTATTTATATGTTAATGTAGTGACATCACTGTTATCATTCTAAATAAAAAATTACAAGTTCAAGTCTATTCTAATCAAAAATATTAATATAATCATATTGAGCAGATACTATAGTTAAGATTAAATTATAGTCACACACAAATATCTTCATGTAGTTATAATATATTTAAAATATTTTATAAAAAATGAAAAAGGCACGTAGGACGATGTGGGTAGAATAATAAGTCGTGGGTTTGGTTTGGTGGTTTTATAAGGTTGGTTTTGGATGAAATAAGGTATGTATGTAGTGGAAGTGATGATAATAGGCAAAGGAAAAAATGGTTCAAAAAAAAAAAAGGAATTGTAGAGAGTTTCGATAAAGATAGTCGAAGCTGATGATGGAAGAGGAAGTCTTCGAGGTCCAATTTGACCATCTTTTCTTTTTTAGTATATATATGGAGGGAGGGAGGAGATATCTTTTCTTTTCTTTTTCCCTTACCCCTTCCCTTTTTTGCTGTCATTTTTCTTTTTTTCATTTTATTTTTTCAACATCTCTCTCTATAGGTGCAAGTGTAAAGAACATCGTACCACAGAACCACCACCAACGCATCATTTTCGGTAAGAAAATTTTACATTTACTCTTAAATTTTATTCTTAATTTTTACTCTACACACAAAATATTAATGTAAATATTTATATTAGGATCAATATAAAAAAAATAATTTATCAATATCTGTTCTATCAAGAGAAAGATTTAGAGAGTAAGATTTGAAAGTTCATGTAATAAAACTATTTCTGTATTATCAACCTCCATCACTAAAGCTTTCAAGTCTCCATCAATTTTATTCAAAGGGCATATATATATATATATATATATATATATATATATTGGCAGTGATTAATACCCTATATGCATGGTAGACCGAATATTTTGTTTAAAGGCAATAAACATATATAAAGTAGAGTGAATCTTATCCTTATTTTTAGACCATTAATCTTCGTCAAACTCAGTTATAGTATTATAATTTCTTTTAAATGATGAATATATATAAAGTCTTATAGATATTATTTTCCATCAATAAAGTAAACTCTAAACTTAAATTACGTGTCAATATTTGTTGGCACATAAACCAAGCTGATTTTAGACAATTCTTATTAGTTGGGGATATTAGGGAGAGAATGTAAGGG